TCTTGCTTATACGAAATAATATTTCGAGATTTATTCAGCGTCACAGAGACAAGTACATGTATTGAAAATGCAACAAATTCTCCCTAATTCTCACTAAATATCTTGCATAAATATTCGGAACAATCCGAATAATGCCCAACTCTGCTTTTCACTACTGATAATATTGAAATAGAACGCAACAAGAAAATTGTGTCCTATATCGTGTCCCATTGACTTGTTCGTCGATCATTTTATAGTATTCTACACTTTATTAATAATTAACAGCTATCGGAATTTGGTTTACAATTCTATCACACGACATGTATTTGTTTTATGATTTTCCTGTTGTGTTATCCAATTACATTACATTTTAATTCACGTGTAGAATCTGTAAAATGTATTCTTTTTATTTTATTTTATTGTATAGCGAGAATATATAGCATGTGACCGCGCGTAGTTAAATACAAAAAATTCATTTTTCTGTGCATCATTTATCGGTGTTTTTATCTACAGTTTGCCGACAACACAGTTTGGCAAAATGCAATCAAGGTAATAACCACAAAACTACAGTTACTGAGCAATCAGTTTTATTGTTTAGATTACTTTAATCAAAATATTTATTACTATCGCAGTATGTCGTTAAAGAATATAATTATCATGATAAATGTGATTTATCTCGGTGACTCAGATTGGTAGATATCCATTTCTCTAATAAATTCTTTAAATTCTTATATTAAATCATCGTATGATAACAAAAGAAGTCCAGAAATTTTCGATTCTTTTTTGAATACAATTATACGATCCCAAAAATCAATACATTCTTTGTATCTTTAAGCGACATCACCAATTTGCAGTTACGAAATTGATAATTTTGTTCTTCAATAATTGCGTACTAATTTCGCGTCGCGATGTTCATAACAGGACAATTAAAACGTAGATTTATCAATTTTCTGTAGCGTGCAAACGTATCGCACAACAAATTTGTCGTGTCTCGTAGAGTAATATGCCTTAATTATTGCATTGAATTAATTACTTAATTACTTAATTATTACATTCTTGTGCATTTCCTTTCTGCAAAAAGGTGTTTTCACTTTCTTTTTGCCAAGGAACTCGCATGGAACGCACGGCTGCAACCTGAATCCGAGTATTCCCTGGAGCAAACGGAAGTCAGTTTGAATTCATCGGGGACTTTACAAACCATTCCACCCATACGGGAACCATTACAGGTGCAATTATATGAATATTCTATCAGCATTATTCTCTTTTCGAAGTACAGTAATTTCTCCCGGAAATGCCAAATCTCGGGTTGCTGTGAATTTCTCCGTGCTAGTCCTACGCTTATGTAATTCATTGCACACGAATATATTAGCGAAAAAGTGTCATTTTTTAAATATATAACTATATTTAACTTTGCACTAACATAACTATATAACTATATATAATTTTGCAATTCGAACCGCCCATTCCAGTTCTAATAATTTATAGATATAATCGAATAATTTATATATATTTATAGATATATATTATATAGATATTCGACCAAATGTGATTCCGACAGCCAAGTGGCTGTTTTTCTTCTCTAAGCAATAAACATTTTTAGCAATATTTTTCTAAGAACCACCCTTTCGCGAAGTTTCATCGAAACCGGTGTGCATCGCTTCTTGTCCGTATCTCCGTCGTCGTTCTCGTTACATTTAAGAGTGAAAAAAGAACTATTTGTGTCAGGAAACAACTGCTCGTTTGCTGTTCATGGCCGTAAGATGGGTCCACTCTCTCCCACCTGTTCAAGCGCTTTCGAAACACGATCAGCTGTTACTATTGGGAGCTTCGTGGACGCAACTTTTTCTCCTTCATCTATCGCAATGGTTCATATCCTGCAACATCTCGGGCTTGCTGGAGGACGAACAGATACGAGAAAGACTATCGAAAGACGAGGCTACAACGAATCAAGATTTAATCACGATTCAGGTGATTAACGACACTGATCAACAAATTAGTGCTTGTACTTTCTTCTGGCCGTCTCTCTCGCCTCTCATTGGTCACTGTTTTTCGTTAATATCGCGCAAACAAAGCCGCGGATTGCACTTTCGCTAAGGAAAAAGTTACTTCAAACGACCCGAGGAACCCCCCATTTCCGGATTGCGCGACATTTTCGGGACATCCTGTATATTGCAAGCAAATATTCGGAATTATCTTCTGACGCCATGACCAATAATTTTCGTACACGCTATACATGTTTAGCAGTTTTTGAAGATATGCACCCGTGCATTTCAAATTTATAATTACCTATGTTTTTAGAACGTGTGTATAAGCCTATGAAAGTATGCCATCTAGTAATAGTTATAAAATTACAGCTCATGTAACAATTTAATAATATATGTTTTCTTCTTTATTATTGCAGTCAATAATATGTCGCTTCAGGCAACTCGCCCCTGACGTTGGGGAATGCGGATGTATGAAGGCAGTAGCACTATTTACTCCAGGTGATATTGCATAAGATACTAATTAATCGTTAGCGTGCATAACTTGCACAAAATGTTCGCGTTATTAGACGAAAGTCGGCAAATAAGCAATGCTCCTCAAATATGGAATTGTGCTGTTTCGAAGAATCTAAGAAATTAATGATTGGACTACTGCTTATTTGTGCTGTTTCATTTATGTGCTTATTTGTTTCGCCTTTTATTGTTAATATACTCGAAACAGAATACCGTATGTTTAAATTTGACACATGGAGGCACGGGAAAAGCAAAATAGTATTCGATATTCGATGGCTTTTCTCTACGATCCATCGTGTCCCCCGAAAATTAAATCTAAATAAATCTAAATAAAACTAAATAAAACTAAATCTTCTTTAAACAACGTACCGATCTGCATAAATTTGTTTGTAACTCCATTCGATCCGATTAAACGATTAAATATGATCGTCGTAAAAAAAGAATCGATGCGAATGTTGCGCGAAACTTTCCCGAAGAATTTAACGCGGCTTCGCGAAGATCTAACGCGAATCGTCTCGGCGAAGATTCTCATGGATTCTTTGTGCCGCAGAAACGGAGGGTCTGGAAGCGGTCGACTCGGTGAAAATGTTACAAGACCAGGCCCAGTGCATCCTGGGGGATTACACGTCGTCGCGGTATCTACAACAATCCGGCAGATGCGGCACGCTGATGTATCTGGTCGGCTATCTGAAGTCCGTCAGCTCGAAGACCGTCGAGCGTTTGTTCTTTCGCGAGACCATAGGCGAGATCCCGATCTCCCGTTTGTTGGATAACATGTGTAAAATGCTGAACCCTAGGGACTGAAGTTCTCGAGCGACTCGGCCGATTAATGTATCGCTAATTGTAAGTTACGCACGGCTTTCCGGAACTCGTCCGACTCTTCCCGAGCTGTGCGCCGCGCGGTGAACTAGAAGAGTTCTCGAAATCTGTGCCAGAAGACTGTAACTATAGGTGTACGACGAATTCTAGATCTCCTTGTGACCGATAGATTTTACATGGTACTTGCGATTTCTTTAGAAGCTTCGAGGATGAGTTGGAATAGTAATCGTAGGCTAGGGCTGAGACTGCTCGGACAGCTTGATGCTCGGCGATGCTTCGTCGGTGATCCATTGTTACTGATGTTCCGTGCTCTAATATTCGAATCGAAAGGGTTACGATTTTAATCATTGCCTCGTTACGCGAACGCTTCGTTTCACGATACTTATGCATATCAAATTTCTTATAGAGTGATAGTACTTTGACTTGAAATAGAACATATAAATATTTAAGCTTGATTTAACCCTTTCGCTACTACGGGCCACTATAGTGGCCCTCCATAAGATGTCACTGAGGTACTACGGGCCACTATAGTGGCCTTTCATAAGATGCCACTGAGGTACTATGGGCCACTATAGTAGCCTTCCATAAGATGCATTATATTGCATAATGTTATTTCCTCTCATACTGTAAATTAAAGAGCGCATGCTAAGACGTTATAAATACCCTGGAATACCCTTTATTTATAAATACCCTTTGGAGAGAAATTTTTTCGTACGAAAACATTCGAGCAGCTTGGGTTCTCCGCCGCGGTACTCCCGCTGACGATCGGCGTCGCGTAGCGTGCAGTGATGTCGCGGCGCTCCGTTCAGCGGAAGTACCGCGGTGGAGAACCCGCCCGTAGCGAAAGGGTTAAGCTCCAATTGGACGCATAATGCGCGTAAATCCGTGGCTTCGTTTACGAGTTATTAACGAAAAACGGTGACCAATGAGGAGCGAGCTAGGCTGGCGCGAGGTGGTCGAGACAACGAGCGAACGACGCCCAGTTCTGCTGATTGGCTCGGTCGCCTCGCGCCAGCTGATCTCGCCTCTCATTGGTCACCGTTTTTCGTTAATAACTCGTAAACGAAGCCATCGATTGCATTTTCGCTAAGGAAACAGTTACTTGAAATGACATCAGGAGCCCCTGATTTCCGGATCGCGAGTGACTTTTGGGACACCTTGTATAGTGTGGAGCCTAAAAAAGCAAGACTTCAATTTGTAAATATTATGTATGTTTATTGCGTGACAGTTTCAGAGAGAATTGAAAGTTGTTTAATTATTTTCAAATGTAATAACAGTAATACGCACTCGGGGTTAACATATCACTGCCAAGATAATCGTTTTATTGAACCAAGTATTCGAATATTCGAGTACTCGCGTGGACGACATTTCAGCAAGTAGTCTCAGCCCTGTATTAGGCTGTTGAACACTTATGTTTAGTTTAGTAAAACGGGAAGAAATTCTTACGACGCTTTATTAGCGATATTGTTTGCAATAGCATGTTGTGTACATTACTTTTTATAAGATAATAGATGTTCCTTATGATCGTTGAAATGCGTCCGAATTTCTGGATAATGAAGAGATGATGATCATTAGAATGATAGGCTGTAAAAAATTATTCGGTTGAACAGAGTTATTCGACGCAACGTTCGCAAAGTATACTAGAATAACCTAAATAAAACGGCTGTTATTTTAATTATTTTGTATTATTCGACGGCATTTTCATTGTTTTCAGCGTATTGATGTAATTGCATATCAGAAAATTATTACATTTTCTTTGGACAGTTTTTATTTGTACAGACTGTGTTTTGTAAATTAGTATGTTCTATGTACAAATTTATCATTCTACGAATAAAATATACTTTTTGTTGTTTCACAAATTATGATTACATGTTTCGGTTTTGAGCGTTTTCTTTTTTGATAAATTTTCTATTTTAATAAACGCTACAAGCGATTACAAATCCGAAATTACACGTAGTAAGGAATGCAATGTATGTTTTCTATAGCATAATCGTAGTTGAACGCATCGCGAATTCTCGATTATTCAAATCGTAACAGTCTTTCAAAAATGTTTACTTGTTTGAGAAACAAAATTGTGCAATCTTTTGCGATTTCGTCACAATTCTCGAATTCCTATAGACTTCGAAAAATA